CCTTGCTCAGGAGGAGAAACAAGCCCCATTTCTGCTGGAGTTCACCAAAAGCAAGAAGCGAGGGGCAGCGTTTCAGAAACGGGCTGGGATGGGCAGGTGCCCGGCTGGCGTTCCAGCAGGCTGCTCAATTCAGCCCCCTGCCTCCATTTAAAATGCACAGCCAACAGCAGTCTGGCACATGCAGATGTTCTGCTGCTGCATGGAGAGTGCTGCCTGCCTGCATTGCCTGCATTGCCTGCATTGCCTGCCTCCCTTTCTTGCCCAGACTTTAGCACTCATTCTAGATGTTTTCTCTCCTGTGTTCCATCAGTGAAGCCAAACCATTCTTTTTCTCCATTGCAGAAACTTGTCTGTGCTGACTATCTTCTGGTTTTGCACACAGTTTCTCAGTTTCTTTCTAGATGGCCCATTACTTGACCTCTATTACTTCCACCAACGTGTCTTCCATTAGCTCAGTACAGCCCTTCCTGAATGCAGTAAATTCTCAGGATGCCTAAATTCTGTTAGCTGAAGAATGAAGCATTTGTGAAGATGACTTGAGCCTGAAGCACAGTCAGATACAGTGGTTTTGTGCCATGCCTACACGTTTATGCTTATTCACACTGAAAACTTCACCTCCTGCACTATTAGATGACAGTTGGAGGTAGCAAGCACTATTTTTTCCTGATCCCCCAGTATTTATGGCTGTGTTGCCACACTGTTTGCCATTACTGCCCTTGATGCCCTACAGCTGCATTCAGTATCTCCAGCATGCAGGACCTGTTTTCCTCTGTGCTCCCACGTCTGTTTTGAGCAGCACAGCACTGTGATTTGATGTGACTCTGGAGTAGTGTCTCCAGCACGTAATTGTCAGCACGAGGCAGGGCTTCAAAGGGATCGCTAATTAAGATCAAACTGAGCCCTGCAGCAAGTCTGGGGAAGATTTGCTTGTCCAGAGAAAGAGACAGTGTTACTAAGTGATATTTGGGGTGCCAGCAGCCTGCTGTTGCTTTCACAGCAGAACAACTCCGTGCCGGGGGGCTGTGTGGGTCTGAGCAGGTGCAGCTGGAGGCAGCGTGGGGTTGCAGTTGGCTCTGCTGGTGATCCAGTTTCCCATCCGGAGTCACAGAACCATGGAGTCATTTAGGTTGGAGAAGACCTCCATGATCACCAAGTCCAACCCTCAACCCATCCCAACCATGGCCACTAACCGTGTCCTTGCTGCAGTGTACGACTTCAAGCACAGATCTCCCTTTTCTACCCTTCAGTTGGCCTCTTTTCCTCCTTTTCAAGCATCCTGAGGAAGGAGCAGTGCGTGCTAAAGCCACAGGCTGGGGGAAAGCCTGTTTGATCATGCCAAGGGATTTATTGTAGCTGGTGAAACCACTCAAAGCAGCGTGGCTGCGGCAGGGCTGCGGTGGTTGCAGGTGCTCAGTGTGCTGCACTGGCACCATCCCTCACTTCTTTGGGCTTCATCCCATGGAGCACACATGGAAGCAGGGATCAGCCCTCAGCATGCATATGGAGTGGAATGAATGGAGTAGAATGGAGTGGAGTGGAGTGGAGTAGAAATGGAGTGGAAGGGAATTGGAATGGAATGAAATGGAACTGAGTGGAGTGGAAGGGAGTGGAATGGAGTAGAGTGGAAGAGAATGGAGTGGAATGGAACGGAGCGGAATGAAGCAGCTCTATTGGAAGGGACTCTCTTCAGAGATCATCGAGTCCCAACTGCCTGACCACCTCTGGGCTAACCAGCACTTTAAGTATACTATTGACAGTGTCATCCAGAGCCCCTTGAACACCAGCAGGGGCATCACCCAACTCCCCAGGACGCCTGTTTGGTCTTTGAGCACCCTCATGGTAAAACAGGTTTTCCATCTGGTCTGATCCTCCCCGGTGCAGTGAGGAGCTCAGTGGTGGATGTGGCCATTAGCAGTGCACAGCCTTTTGCTGTTGCTGGAAGGGAGCAGGAGTGCATGTGATCGGAAGATGTGAAGCAAGTGAAATCTTGCTGAAATGTAACCAACCAGATTAATTATATTTGGGAAGGCTGAGCATCCAAAGGATTTAATGATCTGAATACCATTTTAGAACATGATATTGTCTTTTTGCTGGCAGGAACGCCGGCACCAATTATAGAAATAAATCAAAAAATCAGGTCAAATAATTATTTTATGAGCCAACTGAAAAGGCTGGGTGCATCTCTTAATGCCGGGGTGCTTTTGGGAAGAAAGGGAAAAGCCCTTCAGGAGTAATGTTGCTTCCTGTGCAGGGGGTGGCTGTGCACACGCCTGTGGTGCACACACACACACGTGCTGTGGACACCCAAGCTGGGGCAGGGGTGTACCTGCTGGCCTGGTGTCCCATAGGGATTAACAGCAACAAAGATGAAGCAGCCCAGGGTGTGCATTTGGAGGAATAACAACTGGGTTTTGAAATTCAGGATTTCTTCTCCAGGGGACTTTACCCAACTGCATGGTATTAACTTGTTACAGGATAACGTCAAGCAACTTATCTGCACTGAACACGAAAAGGATTAGGGCTGTTGGAGGCTCTGTGCTCGAAGAAAGCCCAGGCTCCTTTCCACCTCCCTCGTGTGCTTCTCAGTGGCTGTTGCAATCCAGCAGGGGCTGCGGTGCTGGCACGCCATGGGGCAGCTCTGCAGGACGCTCCGTGCCTGCACAGCCTGCAGGCCTGGGCTATGGAGCACCAGTGGTTTCAAGTCCTTTCTGCATGAAGGATCTGTTAGAGAAACCGGCAAGCTGCTGTGATAATAGGAAACAGGTGCAGAAAATCAGAGAGCAGTGAGAAGCAGTTGTGCTCATAGATTTCGATGTAGCAAAGTGCATCGTTCTCATTGCCAGTGGCTTTTGGAATGTGGCTGAACGGCTCTGTGAGGAACGGGGCAGTACAGATCATGAGAGGGACTTTGTGATGAGCAGTGTGCCCAAACACCATGAGGTCCTGGCTCCGGGAGCACAGCTGTGTGCTGCTGCAGCCACAGCCCTCGTGTTGTGCGTGGAAGAGTGGAAACATGGAAATGCCAAATGTGGACAAGAATCACAGAATCCTAGAATGGCCTGGGTTGCAAAGGAGCACAATGCTCATCAGTCCCAACCCCCTGCTGTGTGCAGGTCGCCAACCAGCAGCCCAGGCTGCCCAGAGCCACATCCAGCCTGGCCTTGAATGCCTGCAGGGATGGGGCATCCACAGCCTCCGTGGGCAAACCACAACGCCCTGCCTGGTTCAGCAGGCTTAAGCCCCATGGTCTGTGTGTTTTGTATGGTGGATCTGGTTAGCAGTGGCTATCCATGGAACCACAAGGGCTGCTAACGACCATTACCATCGCCTCATCCAACTGCTAAGTGACTCAGACTCATCTTTGCTGTCAGACTGCAGAACATGGGCAGCCAGGGTTGCCGTCAGTCATTTTGTTTGCTTTCCAGGTGAATGCATGAAGCCAGGCTGTGCTAAGCGTGATTTCCTCCTGGCACGTTGTTGCCCATTGCCTCCATTCATCTGCACTGCAATGAAATCTTTTCAGGTGCCCCTCGGGTGCACAGGCAGCGAGCTGCAGCTAACTCCTGCCACCTGCTGCCCTGCTCTGCCCTGCATCCTTCCTGCTCTGCTTCTTAAAGACTGCAGCCGGAGGAGGAGAGGGGCTGCGAGTCCTGCTGGAGAAGTCTGGAGTATCTGCGTCATCAGAGCTCATTCTCTCAGTAGTGATGGATTAATTATCAGCCTGTGGTTGTAGATACGGCAGTTGCAGAGCTGAGTTTCTTCTTGCGGCTGGAAATAAAGCGTACTGAGGCTGTTGTTGGTAGAAGAGCAGATAACAAGGAGGAAAGGAATGTAATTGAGCTCTTACCGGGTTCAAGCACTGAGCAGTTGGGTGAGTGGATGCTACAGAGCAGCACCGTGTGTGCAGGGATTGCCCTCTACACACACTGTATCACACCAGTGCCCTGCCTTTGCGTTCCAAGGAAGGAATCCGTGTCTGCACTGGGAATCAGTGTTTTTAATTGCATTAGTTAAATGCCTGCGCTTCCTAATTCTGGAAGAACCGTGTGCAGGACCAATTGGCAAGGGAGCATCTGTGGCTGTGAGGACTGGACAGGTGCTGGGGACCCAATCTTTGCCTTTTCCTCCCCAGTAAATCGGTTCTGGAGCCATCAGAAACACCTTCCTGCTCCTTGAGCACAGAGGGATCAATGCATAAGCCAAGTTGCAACCAGCCACGTGCAGCCAGCGTATGGTACCGATTTTCTGATCACTTGCTCCCTAAGTATCACTTGGTAATGCAAAAGGTGCTTGGTGTGGCTGAGCAGCAGAGCAGAGCACAACAGGTCTGTCTGTCGCTGCTTTCTGAGGGGTGTCACCTGCCAGAGTGCCCAGTGCACAAGCAGCAGCCAAGCTGAGAAACCATAAGGAAGTGGGTGTAGAATGGAAATGGTGACAGACAGCCTGGGTTGTCTTTTCCAAGCCTCCGTTTTACAGCACAGCTGTTTGATGTTCACTCAGCTGACCTCCCGGGATGGCTGAGATGTGAAACGTGGTTGGATGCCCGCTCCTCACAAACCTTGTGGGTTTCCAAAACCTTTCAACCTTTGTCCAAAAGAGGAGGAGGACAGCTTGGCACTGCCAGTGTGCTCAGTGTGTATGGCTCCGTGGCACAGTGCCTTCTGTCCCCATGGCATTTGCAAGGATGTGGGTGAGGTTTGGCACAACGCACAGCACTTGAGAGAGCCGTGCCAGGAGAAGATCAGGCTGGATACTGGAAGAAATCTCTTCTCCAAAGAGCAGTCAGCACTGCACAGCTGCCCAGGGGTGGTGGGGAGGTCACCATCCCTGAAGTGTTCCACAGCCAAGGAGATGTGGCACTGAGGGACGTGGGCAGTGGAAATGGGGGTTGGGCTTGGGGATCACGGAAGGTTTTTCCAACATGAGTGATCCTGTGGTTCTGTGCGCTGAAAGCTGGCCGTTAGCAGGCATGTGTGACGCAGTCTGTGCTTTGTTTGCAGCTTCGATGTGGAAAATGGCCCTTCTCCTGGTCGCAGCCCGCTGGACCCACAGGCCGGCTCCTCCTCAGGGTTGGTGCTGCACACCACCTTCCCCGGGCACAGCCAGCGCCGGGAGTCCTTCCTCTACCGCTCAGACAGCGACTACGACCTGTCACCAAAGACCATGTCCAGGAACTCCTCTCTCCCAAGCGAACAGTAAGCACAAACTCAGCTCACGTCATATTTGACAGCAGCAGAGGCTGAGGGCTCTGCGTGTCTTCCTGTAATCCCCAGAAAGAAGTGTGTGTGGGCACTACTCACATCTCACAGCCCAGCAGACGGGTGCTGCTGTGGTCTGTGCAGCCATGACTTCCTCATCCCCATCCCATGCTGACACTCACTTTTGCTCCATAATCTAGTAGAAGAGCTTTCAAAGCCAGGGGGTGAAATACAAGAGGACCCCAGTGCCACTGGGAGCTGGTGCCTGGGGTGCAAAGCAGTGGGCAGAGCTGGGCTGTTCTGCGTGCCCACGGTGCCTTCTGTGCTTGCTTTTCCCTGCATGCTCTCAGTGCCTGGTTAACATCCCCTCTGTTCTCAAGTAGGTAGCACACCTACCCCTGTTGCACTTTTCTATCCTGTTTCCCATCGTGGGTCATTCATTAGAAGACAGTGAAAAATACAGCAGAGAGGTTGATTTGAGAGGATCCCTACCCCTCAAATGGAGCACAAAGCCTCCATGAGCGCCCTGGATTTGCAGCCCTTTATTTTAAAAGGCACAGTTTAGAGTTTAAAGTGACCATAACACAAAAAATGCTCTTAAACAAAAAAGTGTAGCTGCTGTAAAAGCCCTACCAGTTTTTTCCATGCAGCAGAAACCTGAATCTCAATGGGAGGTGTGGTGAATTCCCACAGGGGGAGCAGAGCATCCCTCCTGCCCAGAGCCCTGAGCCCAGGCTTCTTGTGTGAGTGCTTTGTGCAGCGTTGCCAAGAAATCCCTCCCAGTGCTGGTGATGCTGTCCTTCCCTCAGATCTTCTGCTCAAATCTTCCACGATGAAACATCCACTGTTTGGATAATGTGAAGCACGGTGACACAAAAGCCAGGAAACTCAGAGCTGACCTTTACCCGGGCCGTGATGGGTTTTTCCACCGCAATACGAGCGCGCTGAGTTTCCTGGCTGTCCTGCACTGTGCCAGCAGTGCCCACAGCCATCCCCACACACTGCCACGGCCACGCAGGGCATCCATCCGTGTAGTGATGGGCGTGCTGTCCTTCCACCCAGCCACAGTGACTTACAGCCACGTTCTCCATTCCCCCCCAGGCACGGAGATGACCTGATCGTCACACCTTTCGCACAGGTGAGTTGGGAGCTTGCTGCCTCTTGCACGGGGCTGACTTGGAAAGGTTTGCCTTGAGAAGCGCTCACAAATCCCTTCTGCTCGCTTCAGGTGCTGGCCAGCTTGCGGAGCGTGAGGAACAACTTCACGCTGCTCACCAATTTGCACGGGACGGCCAACAAGTAAGCGGGGAGCCAAAGGGAGCGGGCGGCGGTGGGGGAGCGGGCAGCGGGCGGCGGGGCCGGCGCCGTCCCGGCTTCGGCCGCATGGGGGCGCCAAAGCGCCTGAGCGCGCCGCGGGGTCCCGCCTCCATGGGTCCAGCGCTCGTCGCCCATTTCTGCCCCGCCGCCCGCAGCAGAGCAGCACAGTGCGGCACCCTGGGGGCAGCGCGGTGCCCGCCGCGGCCCTGAGCTCCCCGCGCACCCGGCGTCTTGCTGGGCACGGAGCTTTCCTCCCGTTGATTTCTGTTTGCAAGATGTGATGGGAAATGAATCGCCACGTTCCGAGATGGAGGCGAATAGAAAAACAGATGGCTGGAATAAAGGATCCTTTCCTTGTTATTTTTCTTTTTTTCTTTTTTTTTTTTTTTCCTGCTTTGCTTTTTTTTTGAATCGCCTGAGTATTTTGGCAGTTCCTAATGAGGAATCTGAATTTGGGGCCGGAAGGAAGCGAGGGCGTAACCTGTCGGACGCAGAGGCATCTCGCAGGGTCCTCCTGAAAACATTCCCAGATCTGCTTGAGGCACGAAGCCATTTGCCCAGCCAAAGTCAAAGTCATCAAATGTTGAAACCCTTACACGCCCAACGTCCCAGTCCGTGGCCGAATGTGCTTCCAGGGGCTGTGGAGCTTCCCACATGGTCTCCAAGCAGCCCTGCCGGGTTACGCCGTGCTGCCAGCTCATGATTTTATCATATGTCTCATGACACACGACATTCTTCTTAAGATTCTGCTTCAGGGATCATGGGAAACTCTGCTCTTCTTTAACCCCTTCCTCTCCTTCCTCCCTCCTCCACCCCTGCTGTTCCAGGAAAGGAGAAGAGGCTGCTGCCCCGCTTATTGACAGAAATGCTGGAACCGTATGAATCTGAAGGGCTGAAAAACAATGAAAAAAAATTATGCACACAATGAATAACAATAGCTTTTTTTTTTTTGGACGGTAACATCAGGGTTTTTTCAGACCATTTCCTGAGTGGAAAAGAGGAGAGTGTGATTAATGGCTTCTGAGAGGCCGGGCTTGGCAGATGTGGAGCAGGGGATCTGACAGCAGCTCCATGTGACAGCCATGGGCTGCGGTCTCCCAGAAGGGACAGCGGTGTCAGGACGTGGATCAGTGGCAGTTCACTGCTGTAGAAACTGGGATGGGCGCAGGCAGGACGTCACGGAGGGTGCTGGGAGGGGTGCTGTTCTATTTCCAAGCCGTGCAGTGGGGAATACCCTTCCAAACATGAGCTCACCCCTCCCCGCCCCCCGAGGGCACAGCTCTGCACCGGCGGCTGGAGATACCTGCAGCGCATCTCCTGTGATACTGGCTGTCCCTAATGAGGAGTTTCTGTTTTCCAAAGATTCCAAGATTTCAGTTTTCAAAGGCTCCGTGCAGGCAGGTCGGGGCAGATTTTCAGAGGAGTCAGCACCCAGCACAGCAGGCTGAGCCCTTCGAAGAATCCGGGGCCTGGAAAAAAAGCACAACTTTTGGAAAGCACCCAAAAAGTGAAGGGAGCCCCGCTCAGCTCCGGGCTGCTGGCGGGCAGGAGGTTGGGACAGGGGCTGTGAAGCAGGGCTGTGTTCTGTCCGCCCCTGCACATCCCACCCGCTTGGCCTTCCTGGAGCGCCGCTGGGGAACCCCTGCAGCTGCGGCGGCAGCGGGATGGAGCCGCTCACCAGCTTTGAATGCAGCTTCAAAGGAGAAACAGCCAGAAAATGGATATTTCAGTTCAGTGGCTGAGTCAGAAGGTTGGGCTGGGAGGGAGGCTGGGGGGGATCCGCCTTCTGTTGGAAGCTCTCCGAAACCCCTTTGGGAAGCAGAAGCCCCGAGTTTCGTTTCTGGTTAGCCTGGAATACTGTCCTCAATCTCAAACAGACTGTTTTGATTTTTATCTCCTTTTAACTTCTTTACAAAAGAAGCCCTTTTTCTTTTTCCTTTTCCTTTTCTTTTTCCTTTCCTTTTCCATTTTCTTTTCCCTTTTTCGTTTTCTCTTTCCTTTTCTTTTTCTTTTTCCTTTTTCCTTTTCTTTTTCCTTTTATCTTTTTTTCCCCTTCCCTTTCTTTCTCCTTCTTTCCCTTTCTTTCCCTTTCTTTCTTTTCTTTTTCAGGTGAATAATGGCTTCAACTTGAAAAATTAACAGTTTTATTTGGCAGACGTCACAATGGAATCTTTTGACGTTTGGAGAAATATTGCACCATTTTTTCCAGCCCAACCTGCTTGCTTAACGTCAGCCAAATTTGCAGATAGCTCTCAGCCCTCCTGGAATCCACTGTTCCCTGACGGAGCTGCTGCTTCTACTTGAGAAATGCCATTCTGTTTTGTTTTGGAGCTCACGCCAGCGGCTGCAGCATCTCATTGTGTGCTTGTGGGTGCTGCTCAGGCTGCTGATGGTGGGATGTGAAGCCTTGCATCTCCATTGTAGCCCTGTACCTGCGCACCGGTGCAACAGCGGGCATTGCTTTGGGCCAGACTTGGTTGGTGAAACATGCTCAAGAAAAGGCCTTGATGTGGGGCCCCAGTGAGCCCTGCAATCACAGCACCCAGCCCTTGCTGGCCTCCGGGTGTAGCTGGACCTCAAAGCAGCAGATAAGGTGTGGGATGAGGGCACATCTTTTCTGCTGTGTCTTCTTTCTAGCACATGTGTGTGTGTGCTTAGCCAAGGGACACAAGGCGTTTGGATTTTTCTGGCAGGTATATTGTATTGCTTATGAATTGCTGACCGTTTGGAAGTGTTTTAGGGTTCTTTGTGAACCTGACAACAGCCTTTTAGTTGTGAGTATTAGCAGTGGCGGTGCTTGAGGTGTGAAAATAGCACCTGCTGATGGAGTATTCTTTATTCCTTTTAGGAGATCTCCTGCAACGAGTCAGCCACCTGTCTCCAGAGTGAACCTGCAAGGTATGTGTGGGTCCTCAGCAATCACCTGCCAGCAGAGAGGAAGGTTTATTGCACATGGGTTTACTGGTGGCTGGTCCTCTGCTCCCCCAGCCCCGTGTAGTGCTGAGCTCCTTCTGGGTTTCTCCTGCAAAACCGACGCAGGAGCACCGCCAGGCTGAGGTTGCTGCTGTTTAAATGGTTTGGGGTTTGTGTTTACCCTCGTGCTAGCATAAGGTAGAACATGATTTTGGTTTGATAGTCATGGCCACAGTGACTGCAATTCCTCCGAGTCCCCGTGCAGAGCAGGCCTGGGCAAGCAGCAGCCTACAGCCTCCAACAGGCTCAGGCACAGCTGTAGTTTTTATCCTGTTTATTTCAGTTTGCTTCCATGTGATCTATGTAAAACTGCGATCTCAGAAACCTCTCTCGGGTGAAACTCCCTTGGCTTTTGTTAGGCTGCCCTAGAACGGCGTATTTTTCCTTTCAACGTTTGTTTGCAGTCTTTTGAAATACCACATTTAAGCAACTGACTGGGAGCAAAGTCGGTCACTGCTCACCTCACGCTCGTCCCCACGCTGGGTCGGTGGCTGCAGCACGCAGCCTGGGCTCGGCTCCACCATGGGGGTGAATGGCACTGAGGGGAGCTCTGCACTGCCAGCCCGAGAAGCATGCTGCCTGCGGGTGTGCATGCTGTGCTGTAGCCTTGGGGGGACCCTCTTTGGATGAGCATTGGCCCTCTGGCACCGATGCAATTGTTACCCCCCCGGGGGAGGAGGTGTGGTTGGTTGGAGGAGTGCTGGTGTGTAAGGTGTGATCTCGGCCTCTCGTCTATGCTAGGAGGACTGAGTAAAGCCATGTTATTGCAGCGTGCACAGCCTGAGTAACTCTCATTTCCTTTCACACTGTGTGTTATTTACTGTCTGGGGACGAGAACAGTCCGGGAGATTTCCGGCTTGGATTCCTCAAAACTTGTTGGTGGAATGTGGAGATGGTGGCTGCAGAGAGAGCAGCGATGGCGTGAAGGTCCTCCTGCACGCTGCCCAGGGAGCAGCAGCAGAGCTGGGCTGGCAGGAGTGCACACAGAACTTCTTCCAGCACTGCTCTGAGCGAGACTTTGCTTTTCTGGCCCATGTGAAAGGATTCATGGAACATTTCATAAGCTTTGCATAGATCTGTTTATGTAGCTTACAGAATCTGATAGCCGGGAGATAATTCCCTTCCAGGAACTTTTAGATGAATTTTCTTAATGCTTGCTGTGGAAACAATTGCTTTCCACTTCTTAACACTTTGTGGACATGGAGGAAACGATGCTATTGCACAGCGCTTCCAGCACGAGCAGAGGGATGCCGGGTACCCCACAGGTAACCCCACAGGTAACCCCACAGGTAACCCCAGCTCCTGATGCCTGGAGCCCACAGCCACTCCAGTTCCCTTTCTGACTGAGGGGCTGGTGCTTGCAGCTGCACAGCAGGCTTGTGTTGCTCTGGAGGACCCAAAAGGAGACAGCAACTGATGGGAAGCCCACTCTCAACGTCATGAGCTGAGCCCTGGTGCTCCTGACTCACAGTTTTAGTGTTTCTGTGCTGTGCGGATAGGTGAGTAACTGAAGTACATTGCGACAGTTTGCAGGCAGCAGTGATAAGAAACATGCTTGAGGTTGATAGGAAATGGTGTTATTTCCTGCACAAGGAAGCACGGCCGCGTGCTGGGGGTTGTGGGGCTGCTCTCTCCTCCCACTACTGGTTTTCTTCTGGGGACTGCCTGCCTTCATCCCTTACAGCCACTGCCGTGCTTTTCACCTTGTTCAGAGAACAAGGATGCTTCCTAAGGAAGATGCCGTTTCAGTGCAGAAAGAGCAAAGGGGTTCAGGGTGTTTCTTTCAGTGTGTTGATCCAGGATTTATGAGTGGAAGGAGGGATGTTCCCAGCAGCCCTTCTCGCTGTGCCTGAAGGGATGCTGTGCCTTCCCTGCAAGTTTTGGAGGAGGAAGTGGTGAGGTTTAGATTGGGGCCACACCGTATTGCTCCCTTCTAGATAGAAGGACATGTCTTAACTGAAATGTGTTACATTCTCTGGATGGGTTCACCAGCAAAGCTCAGCGTTTGATTTTAGCTCTCCCATGTCACACGTTGATTCATAGATGCAGCACCACAAGCGATTGGCATTGCTGTGTGCACCCTGCGTGTGCCTCCTCTTGTCTGTCGTTAGCAGAGTGATTTATATCCTGTTACGAGAAGTGCAGGACTCAGGGTTTAAAGCAAACCAGCGTGCATTCATAGAATTACCCTGGGGGGACACAAACTGTGCTCAGCTTCGTACTGCAAGTAATGCACGCCAGCTGGTTGGTCCAGCAGAGCCTTAGGGGTTTGTCAGTCGTTTGCAACACAGAGGATCCAAATCTGGTGTCCGTGTGCTGCTGAGGAGTTGCATCACACGGGACCCAGGCCCATGGCGAAACGGATGGTCTGTGCTGGGTGATGAAATTCTTCTTCTTGCTTTCATTTTCTTGAAATCATGAACAATTCTGGTCAGGCTCTTGGTGGGGCAGAGCGGTTCCCAAGCCCACACTGATGTCACTGGAGGTTTCAGAGCTTTCTTAACCTTATAACCAAGCCATAAAAGGAAGAGGGATATGCATTGGACATCCTGTGTTTTGTCCTTGGTATCAGCTTAAGTAAACCTGGCAGATTTTTCCTGTTATTTTGTTATAACTGCAGATCACAGGAACAAACAAAAGTGCTTGTGTGAGTTACCTAAGGAACCTTTGCATGGAAATATGAAGCGGCAGCAAAAAGTGCATCAATCCTTAATTAGCTCCTGTGCTTTGCAGCTGGGCAGGATGATGGGACTGGTTGGGATCGTGAGGTTCGTGGCTGTGCAAAGTGCTGCAGAGCACGGTTATGAAGGTTTGTGTTTGGAACAGGTGCTGCCCCACCTCCTTTTCCACTGTCACAGAAATTAGCAATAGAAAAGCAGTGCCGTGCTCATCTCTGCAACGTTCCCTTCCCATGTGCTTCTCTTTTCTCTTTTAACGTGACCTGTGCTGCAGTCATTTTGTTTGATCTCAGTGCTCCTCAGATCTCAGCTCCAACCCTCGGCGCTGCTCTTTTCAGTTCACCACCCTGGGCACTCATGAGGGGTCTTCAGCTCCATCCATTCAGCTGATAAAACCCATGCCCAGCAACAGGTCTGGCAGCCCCTGCTTGGTTCTGTTCCTTCCTCTGAGCTTGTTTTTCTGACTGAGCCTTATTCCCTCCCAGCTAAGCCATCCATGCCTCATTCAGCCTCCAGGAGTGCAGCTGGCCAATGGGACCCGACCCATGAGCACCAGGCATCTTTGCACACTGGTTCCCCAATGGGTCACTGCACCAATGTGCTGCTGGCAGCACTGCAGAGCTCCTGCTGCTGCCCCTCGGGTGCCTTCAGCACTGCATAATTACAGCACGAGCTCACCATTAATTACCTAGCAATGCAATACATCATTAGGTATATCACTGATCAGCTTTGCAACCCGAGGCTTTGGGGGTTGGCACTTTGGGCTGTGTCACACAGGCTTCTCGGGGCTCGTGGGATTAAAGCTCTGTTACAGTTCCTCTCTGGGGGTGGGAGGGAGAGCTCGGTATTCCTTTTGCTTGTGCCTTAGCCTCTGCTTTCCTGCCCATCCGCACGTTTGTCTGCACTGCTCGCATGCCTTTACACGAACCCAAAGCTCGTACTCGCTCATTTTTCATGTGGGTGTAAGATGTACACAGACTCGTGCGCAAAGGTTTGTATAAAGCATAAACAAAGGACTGGATAACACCAGTGCCTGTGCGACTGAGAGTCCCGGCTCCTGCAGGAGGTACCAGGTGTACCAGGTCCCGCTCTGCAGCCACCCATCAGCTCCATGCAGTCAGATGGGGCTTTGCTCTCGCGAGGAGCTGGCGCTGCGCAGGTACAAGAGAGATGATTCATGCTGAGGTCCTGTTGGCGTGCCTTGGGCTGCCAGCAGTGAGGACTTGCAGCATCCCATGGTTTTCGGGTGGCTGGGATGAGTTGGTGCTGTGATTCTGACAGGGAGCCACGCAGCACCGTGGAGCTGAGCTGAGAGCTGCGTGTGCATAGCAGCATGGTGCTGGAAGCTTGTCCCTAAACAGGACTCCCTGCACACTATTCTGAATGCACTGCCATGATGATGCTAGCTTAGCAACTGTAGAATAAATCAGATGGATGGCAGCTTGTGACGTGACCGAGCGGTGCTGAGGGCTGTCGAACGTGAAGCGATTCCTGCTGCTTGGAGAAAGCAGAGGTGTTTCAGAGTGACCCGGGAAGGTTCCCTGCAGCAGAGGAGCGGTGAGTGCCCTCGGAGCGCGCTGGGACAGCCGGCACCGCTCCTGCTCTTCCCGGGCAGTTCGTTCCCACGCAGTCCGTTTCGTGTGTTGCTCCTGCCTGCGAACACACACCCCCTGAAAGTTGGACTCATGCATCTTAGTAAGTATTTCAGTTATGCTATTGACGTCAATGCAGTCATTAAATAGATTGCCGGCCCTCCCATCGGCAAACCTGTGCCAAAGACCTAGAGGCAGGCACATTTTAAAAGAAGAACATCAGGTTTTCTTTTAGCAATTGGAGAGAATGAGGGAAAAGTTTCTCCGAAGTCGCTGGGCTTTGCGATTCTGAGGCTTCTTCTTTTTCCCTTCACTTCTGAAGCCTCCGTTGGTGCGCAGATAATGGCCCCGTTTTATTTAACACACCGTTGTGCCCCCGCACACATAAACAACTCCAAATGAGGCCAAAGAGTGATTTTTTGGGATCAGCTCCGGCTGAAAAGTGACACCCGCTTTAGGTCTCCCGGCTAGATTTATTTGTAGATCAAGTAGCAGAAGGTATCCGGGCAAACCTGCTTAGCCTTTGACTCCAGAAATTCTGAGAGGATACATTTCATGACATCTATATAAGAAAATAGCCCTCGTTTCTCCTCGGCAGGCTCTGAAGACACACAAGCCGATTGCGGCTCCATAGCAACAGATGAAAACTGTTTTC